TGTTGGATAAAGAAAACATTAGCAAAAACAATAAACTGCTTTAGGGACTACGACTTTGTTTTAAAAGAGTATATGGTTGTATGGAAGTTTTTCCACTAGTTTCACTGATAATTAACAATTATTCCACTCACGCTTGTTGGACATGAGATGATAGATAGCCAACGAGGTGCGTCGCGCTGAGTTGGCTATAATCATCTAATATCCAACAAGCACGAGTGGAATAATTGTTTTATTTAAAAAAAGGCCCCCAAGATATTAGGCAAATCTTCTCAACTTTATTTTGTAGGAAGAAACCGGATGTTACAATGTATAGATATCAGATTATGGTATATTGGCTCATATACCATAATGGCTAAGCCAATAAAAAGTCTTGAATTGCATTATCCAATGATCCAGTTTTTAATAATTACTATTAATCCAAGTTTAATAACTATAAAAAGTCATACTCCTTCTCCTTATAAATGATACTTCTATCTGTAAACTTAGATTTAAAAAGCTCTACTTTGCACAGGTCCAAACATCAACTATCTCGTAGAAGGATGAGGTATAAAAAAAAAAAAACAGTTATCTCGTTACAGTTTGGACCCTTACAAAGCAGCCGTTGGCATAAAGAAAAAAATTTCAATTAATAAAATGGTAAAAATATTAAGTTAAAAATCCAACAAAGGTATAAAGCATAAACACGATCTTGAGAATTGAATGGCAGTAAAATTATAAGGCTTAGTTAGTACTAGAGAGCTTCGCACATAACTAAGGAGGAAAAATCGTAAATTAAACAGCATTCAAATTTCAAAGCTTTCCTATCCTAAATGGCAAATCTGTGGGAAGTGAAATTTTCATTCAAAACGGAATCATATATATAGTCGATCAGGAAGATTTCATAATTCATTCTACGACATTCTTATCTAGTTGAAGGGTACAGCACTATCTCGCAGACTTTTGTACCCGTACAAGAATACTGTAATCACAAAGTTATTTGACCTATCTTTATCAAAATTGGACCGGTAAAAGTTATCAATTACCTCTGTTCGAAGCTAAAATAACTCGCATCCAGTAGAAGGGATCGGCAGAATCCGACGACATAATGCCAAACAAAGGAATCTACGTAAAGAGAAATACTAAAATTAAACCTCTTCTGTTATCAATCACAAGGGAATCACAGAGAAGATAGGTCTTTGCTATCAGCCTTTTGTAAAATGGCGGTTGCAACAAAGGGCCAGTCAAGAAGAATATCAATTATTCTTAATTTACAATCTATAAAATACGACTTTACTGACCTGGCAGCACACAAGAAAGATAAAGAGCGTTATTGCCGTCCATAGCACTTTCTCTTTAAACTGGATCTGTAGGAAACAGAAGGCGGATTGATTAAAAAAAATTTCGAGTAGCAGTATCCAACCAAGACAACCACACGCGGATGTACACGTACACCCAACGGATATAACCAGACATTTATTCACTTCGAAGTTGCCTTCGACAAAAGACACTCGATTTAACAATAAATACAAAGAAGAAACAACCTGAAACGTCTTCAGAGAACTCTTGATGATAGACTTACCTTTCTTTCGGGCTTTGAGACCTCGGGCAAAACGGAAATGAATGGTCGTAGTACTTCGAGAAATTTTACTGTGCACGAGAAAAAGATCACACATTAACTCTCGGCCAAAATGGACAGATTGCATCCAAATAGCGACAAAAATGAAATATAGAATGTTAAGGACACCTACCACCCATTTTTATAATTTTTTTCTGGCCAAAAAATTGGCGGCCTTGACGAAATGAAATAAGAAATTTAACTGTGGTTAGACAATGGCCACAGCAAGTGATGGAGAGGGTAAGACACGCAACGCGCAGGCTTATACGTCATTAGGCTCCAGGCTCTTAAGAGACCGGAACACCAAAGTTCTCGAGCTCGCGGAGCATCAGACTCTATCTTAGGCCCGGTTCAGACGCCGAACTTTTCATGAGCCGAACTAAATTCGAATTTGGACCGACCCAAATTAACAAAAATACGCCTGCTGATTCAGACGCCGTTCTTTTCGGCCGTTCCAAATTCAGTTCCAGTAAAACCAGTCAAACTGCTTGCAAAACACATTACAACAATTTATGCATTAGGATCGGCACATGAAAAGTACGGCGTCTTTNGCCCGGTTCAGACGCCGAACTTTTCATGAGCCGAACTAAATTCGAATTTGGACCGACCCAAATTAACAAAAGTACGCCTGCTGATTCAGACGCCGTTCTTTTCGGCCGTTCCAAATTCAGTTCCAGTAAAACCAGTCAAACTGCTTGCAAAATACATTAAAACAATTTATGCATTAGGATCGGCACATGAAAAGTACGGCGTCTGAATTAAAGCCGTTCCAAAGGCGTTCTACAGGCGAAATTCTCGGCCAAGCCAGGCGGGAAGAACGGGTGAGCCGTTCCAAATTGAAATAGCCGTTCCAAATTGATTCAGACGCCGAACTTTTCATGTACTTAATTTAAGGAATTAGGTTCGGCTCATGAAAAGATCGGCGTCTGAACCGGGCCTTAGCAAAAGCTTTGATTATTTTAACAGTTCAACGGTTGAAATGGAAAAAAACTTAAACAGAAAAAACAACAATGATAAAATGATCGCGCAAATTTCAAAAAAGATTTTATATCTCTATGTGGAATACAATTTTGCAATTGCACCCCTACATACGAACATGGTCCAGAAAGAATAGTTTTATTGCCTGTTCGTTTGTTTCATCTAAAAACTTGCTAGTGTCACTATTTAAGGAACTACTTGAATAAGTACCTTGATGGTTCTTTTTGAGTATCCCTCTCAAGGAAAATTATTAGGAACGTTATGCACAATGTAAAAAAAGGAAAATTAATGGAGTCCTAACTCAGATACCACCTACATCATGCATAAGAAATTTTCACGAGATATTAAACAAGTAGTTTACTTTCTTTTTTGGGTGCAATTGCCATTACCTATTGCGCATGCGTATAAACAAGAGACTTAGAAGGAGAAGGGCTCTGGGTTCGAGATTGTTCCCACTTGTGTTGTCAAATCGTTTTCGACAGACCGTTGTTACATTTCCTTGCAAGATAACTCTGGTTTTCCTTCATTACGCACAAATCTTTCGCCTTTTACTAAAGATTTCCGTGGAGGAGAACACTTAAATGAGTCAATAGACCAATTTTTCGTTGCCCTGCCTTGAGGCGGGGCCCTTAGATGAAGTGGATAAACTGAACGAAGATTTAAATACTAATTTATGAGTAACCACCAGTGAACTCTCTGACGGTGCTTGAGGGAGTTAGTTCTGCAGCTGGCTCAGTCACTTGCAAAATTTGCAGAGAAGAAATAAGCAGAGTCGAAGAAAGTTAAAACTTGAGGAGAGAGGAAGGTTTGTTTCCTTTTCCATCTGTCATTCCAAGGCGTAACTCTCTTCAATGTGTATAATGTAGGGAACATTACTTCATATGTTCATTGTATCTCATTTATCACTTTCACGGGTTTATTACGAATCAACTTAACGGCCTGCTCCCAGTTGGCTTGTTAGCTCAATTGGTAGAGCGCTGCACTAGTATCGCAGAGGTCAGTGGTTCGAATCCCGTACAGGCCTGATTTTTTTCAGGTCTGATTTTCGCTATTGCATAAATAGCGCTATCTACTGCGAGGATCGTGCATCACATGTAGGGAACATTATACCGCAACAATGTCCCCTGCTGAAATGAACATACCGCTATGGTATCTAGGTAAACAACGATGACCTGATCTCAATCTGAGAAATAAAAAATAGGGATGAATTTATCCTTAGGCGTCTTGCGTAGACTCTGTATTGAAAGGAAGTCTTATTCTCTGAGGACAAGTTAGTGCGCTCGGGAGCGGCACAAAGCGGACTCGGAACCTTTGATCTCATACCAAACGGCGTGCGGGCAGTTGACGCGAAAATCTATATTAGAGAAACTTATATCCTTATGCCTTATACCCATGGCTTGCGTGCTGGAATTTGATGCAAAGGTGGATCTTAGGTGAACCTTGATGTCACGTCTTTTTTGTAGCTTGCTGTTCGAATGCGAAAGCTTAAGTCTGAAGGATGCAAGAACTTTCGCCTTCGAGAGATTGGTCTCTCGTTCCTGGCTAAAGACCATTTTGCACACTATCGAGTCTGCTTTTTTCGTCTCAACGAATCTCGCATTTGACTAAGCTCGCTGCAGATTTTAACTTCACCGAGCACTGTAAAATAGGGTTCACCGGTCTTCCATCCACTAGTGGATACGAAAAATTGGTCTACATACTCATTCAACTGTTCTCTTTCACGGAAACCTTTAGTAAAAGGCGAAAGATTTGTACGTAATGAAAGAAAACCAGAGTGGAGACAATGATTACGTAACAACGGTTTGTTGTAGATGACTCAGTCGCAGATACAAGTGGGGTTTATAAACATCATTTATGCGTCTGCGCACTAAATTCTACGATCTGTGAAAGCTTTGGAGTCATAAGAAACATAAAATTTGCGTCGAAGCATAAGCCGTGTCTGGAGTAGATAAAATTTTCCAGCAAAACGATGGGAACGTGACCGACCAAAAAGTAATAAGTTTCAAGCAGAATTGTGAATTGGAACTGGAATTGAAACCACGTTAGTGAAGGAACTCGCGCCTTCGAAATATTGGTCTCTCATTCCTGGTTAAAGGCTATCTTGCACAACAATTGACGCGTTTTGTTTTTGTCCCTGCAAACTGAGCTCGTTGCAGGAATCCAATCAGCATCAGAGAAGATTCATCGGTCTTTCAACTGCTGGTGGTCGTTAATGAATTTACCCCAAGGAGAGAGATCCTTCGCTAACTAGTGTGGTTTCTTGGAACCTTCGGACTTTCGCGTTGAATCAGTTTGCGCAAAGTTCACAAGGAAAGAAAGTTTCCCTAGAACAGATTTTTAGGTCAACTGCCGGCGCGGCGTTTGGTATCAGAGGCGCCGAATCCTCAAAGCGCTCCCGCGCCGAGTACTAAAATGTTTGAGAGAATAAGGCTTTCTCCCTATACAAAGACAAAGTAAGACACCTAAGAAGAAATTAAGGGGTATAGCCAAGAAAGAAATGATACAATCACCCCCATCTTCGTTTCTTAGAGATCAGATGATCGTTGTTCATTTGGAGAACTTATACCGGCATGTTCTTTCCAGTAGGAAACAACGTAGGTATCCTTGGCCCTATATTGTACTTATAAAATGGAGTAATGCCATGGGATAAAGAAACGGAAACAGTATATCCTCCCTGCTCTTCAAAGCTTTCGGTTTTTCTTAGGTTCCTGCTTTCTTTTCTTTATAGCAAGTTTCACATGTGAATGAGCTTGGCGCAGATTTCGATTTCCGAAAGCGCCGTCATAAAGGGTTTACTAGGTCCTCTACTCTCAATTACCTTTAATTTAATAATAAGTTCTTATATGTAACAGCCGTAAGTAGAGGATGACTCGCTGACACAAGTGGGGTTTATATTTATCATTTATGCGGCTGCGCACCAAATACAAAGAAACGTAAAAGCCTTGAATAAACTTAGAGGCAACACAAAATTTTCCTACAATCACAGGCGGTGTCTGGTAATAGATAATGTTTACCAGGAGAACGATGAGAACGATCCTGACTAAAGTAATGTTAAAAGACACTTAGCTCCTTTCTTTTCAACTCTATTGTACTTTTGGGGCCCTATCAACATGCAGAGCGACGAAAAAAAGTCTGAAGCCTTATTCATTTTCTCTGCTCCACAGATGAACTTAAATTTAGTGAATCATTCAAAATACATGCCGGTTTAATTAATTCGAGCTAACGTAAGTTGAAGGTGCCTGTAAGTATTGCAGCATGCTTGTTATGAAATGACTATGATGTTTCCCAGAAATGCATTCAGTGCGGCTAATAGCCCATTCGCGAATTACCCTTAGCCTCATTTTCAAAACGAGTCCTTCTGCTAATCCTTTCATATGATAATAAGCCTCCATTCACATGCAAATTAAACTCATTTTCACAAGAATGGTTGTGCACGAGGACTCGTTTTGAAAATGAGGCCAAGGGTAATTAGCAAATGGGCTATTCTTCTAATATCATTTTAAAGTTATTAGCCCCGCCGTAGGCAGGGCAACGAAAAATTAGTTGTAAGACTCATTCAGTTGTTCTCCTCCACGGTAATCTTTAGTAAAAGGCGAAAGATTAATACGCATGATGAAGGAGAACAAGAGTTAGTACTACGTGTAGAAAATATCAGCACTAATTTTCACGCAACCCTAAAAGACATATGGGACACGACACAGCTCCTCATAAATCATGACTCATAATTTATGGAGTGCGCATGCACTTCATCATGCTTAAAAAACTTGACGCGAAATTTGATTGAGATTGATTAATGTTGTGCCAGAGTAGTAACTTTATAATTCACTATTTATTCAAGGATCGAAAAGCCCCAATCAAATTTATGCTGAACCCAATCATGAACCGAATCATCTCCAAAAGCTTAAGCTCATGAATTAAATGAATGGGTCAAATGAATACCGCTGTACTGACGTATTGAAAAACCGTGAACCGCCCACCAATCAGAAACTGCGAATTGCGATCCTTGTGTTATGTTTATAGATTGCGTGTGTTTTTCAAGATTTGGCAGTAACGTTAACTAGCAGCAAAAACCAGAGCTTTGAAGAGTCCCAAACGTTGTGAGCATAAGTAGATTTAAGAAGATGAAAATTTATGAAACAGTTAAAAAGGGGTGTCCAATATCTATACAGTTTGCCAATAGATCTAGTAAACTCATTATCTCCTTCGGTGGGGATTTTGGCAATTTGGCCACTAGTGACCGTTTTAGAATTTTATT